AATTCTGAGATTAAATTCAGAATTCTGAGAAATAAAGTCAGAATTCTGAGAAAAAGGTATAAATTCTGAGATTAAAGTCAGAATTCTGACTTTTTTCCTCATATTATATTGAAATAAAATTTAAAAATCAGTTAACTTTTTTTTTTTCGGTGTCCTTAATCCTCTTCCTTACTTTAGACTGATATCTTGTAAAAAAAAAAAAAATATATATATATATATATAATAGTGAACATAAAAATCTAATCCTAATTTATTTACAATCTTCTTTGTTTTTAAGTATCTGCAAAGAAACAATATATTTATTTTATTTCACTTTTTTATTTACCAGCTATTGTTTAATTAATCAAAAAGAGAAAATGATTGTTTCTGTATATTTGCTCTTGTTGCAGTGCAGGGTCATGCAGGTCGCCTGGTTTTTGGGGAGCTGAAGGGGAAATCATGTGTTTGCATGCAGGGTCGCTTCCACATGTATGAGGGTCATTCCCTCCTTAAGGTATGAACTTGCCTATTTCAAATTTTCTTATTGTTGTTAACATTTCATGTGTTTCTGTGGTACATAAAACCATCCAAAGATAGATTTAAAAGTTGGCCAAGCAAAATATTAAAATGGCTCAAACTTGAATATCTAAATGGTCTGTGAGCAAAAAGAATTCTGCATTAAACATGACAAACAGATCATAATCACTGTCATGGAAATAATGTTACTAGGACATGCCTTGTGATTTTAGCTTTGGAGAAAACCTAATTCCTTCATATGTGTATTTTTAGACAAAGTTTGATTAAATGTGTGGAGAAATTTGTAAAAAAAACAACAACAAACAAACAACACAAAAAAGCATAAGAACACATTAACAAGAAGAATGGTGCTACGTATAAAGACATTTCGGCACACTAACAGACTTAAACAATGATCTGCATCACATTCAATCCTATGTATTTACTCTGAACATGTTACGTGTCATAAAAAACAAAGTATACAGGCCATGATTCTGACCTGACAATAAACACCACTCACCGACAATGCGCTCCTATAAACAGTGGGATGAAAAAGTTCAGTCATGCAACCCTTGTACAACACTTACATAATAATCAGCAGGATAAAACCTGTGAGATGGTCATGCTCCGGTTCAGTCACATGCAGGCTTTTAGTGGACTATTCAATGCAGCCTTTGTTTCCTTCAATAGAACACACATTAACACACAAACGTGCTCTTTTCTGCATGTCACAGTGAGACTGCCCTACTGTAGCCTCCTCTAGGTGGCGCTCTGTGAAAGGACCTTCAAAAATAAAAAAGCACTAAATCAAAATGAAATCTTTATCTAAAGGGTGAAAACACCCTTTGGATACTCAAATGTTATGTATAAAACAAGGTTGTGTGACTGTCAGGAGACACAGCCTGTTTTTCTGTGGTTATCTTTCGAAGCAAAAATCCTGCATCACCTGACAGAGCAAGACTGGGAAGTTAGTTCTTGGATGGCACTAAAACAAACACGAATAAGAAATACAAATCTATCTGTTTTGGGTTATTTATTTATGTATTTTACATATATATATATA